CAGAAATGCCATGCACGCAAGAACCGTATTCTACGCAAGGGAGAGATCCTGAAACAAATATCCGCTTAGAGTACCTCCCCAATGATTTTTCAATAGCCCGCACCTTCCCAGCTTGCTTTTTTAAGGCTCTGCATCCGAATCCCGAACTTCTTGGACCGCTTGCGAGTCCTCCTAGGCCGGCCCACAGTATCGTCAATTCCAAGGTTCGTGGCACTTTCCACAACTGGCCCCGCCAGATCGCCGAGAAAGGAGCGGAGCTGCGAAGCGACACTCTTGTCCGAACAGACAAAATTGGCCTTCTCGCGCGACACATCACAGCCTAACTCCTCAACAAAAACTTGGTACAACTTAGCAGAGGCGACCTTGATGTCGGCAGTCACTTCACGAGCTGCGCCAATACTGTTCAACCCAGAATCATCAATATATTGGTCCAGGGTGACAGTGCGAGGTAACTCAAGCCGATCAAAGGAGCCTATGAGGTACACCCGCACAAAGCTGGTCGCGAAGCTGCAGCCCGCAATGGCACCCAGCAGGGCGTAGTGCGGTCCTGAAACCATCCTAGACATGCTGATAAAACGGGCACTCCTATACGTGTTCACACAGAGCTGGGCTATGACCATGGGAAATCCGTAAACCCTGCATTGATGGAGCAGGCGATCCAACTGGAAGGTTTCATAAAACTTGGTCGTGTCCCAAAACACTGTGGCTGAGACCTTGCCCCTCGAGGTTCCGACCTCCGAACGCAAGGCCTGTCTCCAGACAGTATCACACGCAGCAGCGAACTTTGACCCCGCACAGTATGGTCTCATGTTGGCAATCTCCCATTGCTGCGCATAAACCCTTCTACAACGCCCCCAGAGCCTAAAAAGGGAAACAAATAACCCAATTGGGCGCCACCCTCCATTAGGTTTCAACAACATGGCAACCTGAATGATCCTAAGTTGGGAGGGGAGGGTGGACAGGATTTCAATTAGCAAAAAAAAAAACTGGGACACCACTAAGAGGGCATCATCAGAGAGCCAGCTATAGTGCTTCATATGGAATCCGTCAATACTCTGAGCAGACGGAACTGGGTACCGCGACGACACCCCGCGGATAAAATCTGGCCCCAAGGCAGGGAGCGCATCCTGCACTCCTTCGAAACCTCGCCCAGGGGGCTCATTCGTGGCCTACCAGAGGCCAGCGAACTTGGCCGACTCCGACCTGAGCAAGGAAAGGGGGTCCGAAACAACTAAGCCTCCAGCGCTCAAGGTGGTGGTGGGCTTCCACCCTGGAGCAGGCTTCCTAGCAAGATGGGCATTACGCCCGCCTTTGTCGATATTAGCCAGCAACCAATTTCTCCATCCCGTCCTTGCCGCCTCCTGAGTCCTGCTGCATACCTCCCCGTAGACCGCCACCTTAGTGCAAAGTAACTCTACCTCAGCTGGCTCAATTCCTGTGATCGAGCTGGCAGCTGAGGCTGTGGCAGCAATATCATCGAGCAACGGCCTGTGCACCCCAATGCCGTCAAGCACGAAACGCGGTGGATCCGTCCAAACACCTCGGAGGCGCGGAGCATCACCAGACTGGTAGAGACCGAATAGTTGCCTGACGCGGTTGTCGACCCACTTACGGGCCGCCATCTCAGGATACCTAACAGGATCAGTTTTGGCATTAAACACAGGGGCCCACAGGAGCTCTGGTGCCTTGGCCCTACTGCCGTAATAGTAAAGATCAACCTGGCCAACAAGACCCAGCTCCTTTTCGGCCCTCTTAGCAAACCAGGCGTAAAGTCTGTCAATCCCCTTCAAGGCTCCCTCGACCCTAGCTTCCCGAGCCAAGCCCAGCACACGGCGACCGTACCCCAAAACATCATCCCACACAGGAGGGGCGGCGGAGGGGCCGACAGGCCTGGTGGTCGGAAGCTTGGGGTGGCTTCGGAACTGCAAGGCCTGCAACTGGGCAGCCCTGGGGAAAAGGGTGAGAGCAACAGGGGTGTGGGTCTTAATCGCAGTGGACGTGATAGCCGCAACTTCCTTGACCACCTTGCCCACCCCAGGGGAAACAACAAAATAATCGATGTGGGACTGCCCTCCTTGCCCCGTGAAGCAAGTGGCCTCGCAATCAGCACGAACGAGCTCCCCAAGACGCTCAGGAAAACCACTTTCCAAGAGGGTTTCAGGGGAAAGGTTAAAGTCAGCCCCCACGATACATGCATTTCCAATCGTGGCGAGGGCACCCCCAACGACACTAAGGATGTCCAGGTTTCGATCCGACAAGCCATCGATCCAGAGACGCCAGCGATGTAGCCGTCGAGCTGGGCAAGTGCACGGTGCCGACGATCGCACGGCCAGCCGCCATAACGTTGCCACCAGGCCGCTTCGGGAAAGCATCGCGCAACCCAAGCCAATCCCTGGCTAGGGTCGCTACGCCGCCTCGAGTGCCAGCTCCAGCACCCGAGGTCGCTTCGCCGAACAGACCCTTCCAGCCGTGCCTGACTAGCCAACTAGCAGCGTCATCAATCTTGGAACCTCTAAGATGATGCTCTTGCACCAGGATCACGTGTGAGCAGGTAAGCTTCAACCAATCACAAATAGATCCCCAACCAGAGCAATTGCACGTTTCGACAATCAAAGCGAAGTCGTCAGTTGGCGGCCGGGGGGGGACCCGAATAAGCCCGTGCCCACGCACCTGGCTTGGCCCCGCGACCCCAGACCCCCGAAACGACCTGCCCTCCAAAACTTCGGTTTCCTGGGAGCCCAAAGAAACATTGGAAAAAGCAGAATTAACTCGACCCCTCTCGCTAAGCCTAGGCCTCTCGCCCTGCGCCCAGGAGTGGGGGAGATCCTGTAAGAAACCCCGAATGTTGCATCGGAGGGAGACTTGAAGCCCCCCCCTGGACACGCCAATCAGATCAACGAATTCAGCAATCTTGACTGAGACCGCCCCCCTCAGCTCACGCAGCTGCTCCTGGGGGGGGCGCAGAAAGTGCACGAGGGCCCCCTGCATCGGAGGCTGCCTGAAGCAACCTCTGGGCCTTCGAGCGCACATCCGAGGCCTGAGACGCAGCAGCTGCGGCCGCGGCGGCCCCAGCGGGAGCGCGGGGAGAGGCAGCTCCACCGCCTCCAACCCTGGGCTCGACCCGAGCACCGCTGGGGCTGCCGGCAGAAGCCGCGCGGGACTCACCCCGCTCACTGGCTCCAGGACGGGGGGCAGCAGCAGCAACCCCAGCTCCTTCACCAGCAGCACCTCGGGCGGGGCCGCCAGGGGGCACCGCTGCCGCCGCAGCAGCTGGGCCCGTCGCCTCCTCGACCTTCGGCTCCTCAACCTTCCGCTTCTTGGACATGCGAGCCTTGTGCTCCGCATGCTCCTGCTTGATCGCCTCGACCGACTGCAGGGCACCAGAGAACAGATCCTTGGCGCACTTCTGCAAGGCCTCCTGCATCTGGCCGATCCGCTTCCGCCTCGAAATCATCGACATCGAAGAAGGCCTGCACGTCAAACAGCTGGTCCGCGCCCAGCTCACCCTTGACCAACTTGTTGATGCAGATGACGGGCTTGGACTGCGACTGCTCGGGCTTCGAGACCATGCCCGAGGCGCTGGCAAGTTCGGCCACAATGAGCTTGTACTCGTCATCAGCCTCCTGCAGGCTGGCCTGCACGTCTGCCACGCGCTGCCCTTGCTCTTCCACCAGGCCCAGGAGCTCCTCGAGCCTGTCCGACTCCTTCTGAAGCTGGGCCTCCAGAGTGACCACCCTGGAATGGGCGGTGGAAGCCCTCTGCTGAACAGGCTGCGGCGCGTCAGCCGCAGCGAGCCTGTCCAGCTCCTTGCGGTGCTTGTCGGCGTTAGCCGTATCACCAGCCTTGTCGGACAGGTTGACCAGCTGGAGCAGCTCGGACTTGGAGAGGGCGCAGCCCCCCTCAAACCGAACCGCTGGGCTGTCGGCCCTGCGGGCGGCACTGGCCCCAGAAGGGCCAGCGAGCGCCGTGCCTCCACGCAGAGCTCCTCGGCGGGGCGTAGCACCCAGAACAGGCTGAAGAGGATCGCGCCCAGCAGCTGGATCCACTTCACCTTCAGACCGAGGTTGCCGACAATGTTTGCACTCATCCATGAAGTCTTCGTTCTTCTTGCACCCACATGCGCAGTGCCAGCGCGGCGGCCGCGAGGCGCTCCTCTGCGGGGGGGGCGTGCACTCGGCGGCCTTCTGAGATGGCTCGTAAGGCCGCCTCGCGCCTGACACCTGCCTTGCTGTGCCAGGGGGGCCTCCATCGCCCGCCCCAGGCACGCGGGGGCCCCGCGCCCCATCCGTCTGCCGCCCCCATGGCTCGCGAGGGGAAGGAGGAATGATGGAGGGATGGGGCGGTCAACGAGCCTGGCCCGTCGCTGCAACGCCCCTCTGAAGTTCGCAGCGACAAGCCCAGGACAATGCCTGGGCCAGAGGGGCTAGGAGAAGGAGGAGGAGGAGGAGGAGGAGGAGGAGGAGGGAGGAGGAGGAGGAGGGAGGAGGAGGGAGAAGGAGGAGGAGGAGGAGGAAGAGGAGGACGGGTCGCCTAAGCCCTCTGGAGAAACCCTGCACCATGACCCCCTGATGAGGGGAAACTAAGGAATCGAAGTCTATACACCGACGCTTCTTCCAGCCCTGCATTGGAATTTGCACTGGAGAGCGGGTCCTGCTGTAAACGGGACCCTGGTGTATACATGTTTCGTTGTTTTCCTGGGACATCGGGGAAAAAATATACACCACACCACCCCTATCGTCGTCCTCGACCCTCAAGAAGTCCTGGGATTGAAAGACAGCCCACCACTGGCAATGTATATGTTCCAGTTTCCGAGAAACGTCAGGGAGGGAGCGGATCCGGGGGGGAAGCATCGACCTGGAATCGGCGACACATCGCCGACAGAGCGGCGACCGAATCCCGACACCGCACGCTCCTGCGCGGGACTGGCCATCGGGCCCCCATGGGCGATCCACGGGCGCTGGGGAGGAGGAGGAGGAGGAGGAGGAGGAGGAGGAGGAGGATTGTTTGACATCCACGCTTCTGCCAAGCCGTACTCTCTCGGGGGACGGCGCCTCCCCCCAGAGGAATGGGCAGGGCTGGGTGGCGCCTCCTGCCACCTCCGCCACCAGCCTGCCCCGCCGCTGACGTCACGGCAACTGCGGGGGGACTCACGCCGAGACGGCTGCCAGTCCCGCAGTGCCGTGGAAACAGCAGGAAACGAGGAGGAGGAGGAGGAGGAAACGAGGAGGAGGAGGAGGAGGAGGAGGAAGAGGAGGAGGAGGAGGAGGAGGAGGAGGAGGAAGAGTCCCGCGCACGTCGCCCGAGGGGGCCCCTGCAGGAGGAGCCCCGGCGGCGACGGGCGCCAGTGCAAGCGCCAGCGGTTGCCAATGCATGCGATGCCGGTCACCACGTTTCAACACAACTAGTGCGACCGCATGTGCACAATGCACATCGAAGGGCCACAGTGCCAATCGTGCGAGACCGCAATGACGCCACTGGTGCGGCCCGGCCATCACTGCACGTACAAAATGTGAACCGTGCGACATGCCAATCGCAAGCCGCAACGGAATAATAAGAGAGAGTGACGAAGGAAGATTACGACAGACTTCGGGAAGAATGCTCGAGGCTGGTCAGCGCATGGCCGCTCATAGCGGGCAACAGGCGGCGCAACAAATCACTTCATAGGCAGACGGCGTCAGCATGGTCAGGCGCAGCTTGCCTGGCGCTGCGAGGAACCTTACCTCTGCAGAAGAACCAACTGCCTGATGCATGCCTTCGGAGGAGTGGTCACGTCACCATGGTCGTCCATCCCCAAGAGGCCGCCGACTGGGTGTTTGACCTTGGCAATGTTCCTGGCAAAGACGTTGAGGTAGTCGATGCCCAAGCGAGTGCGACCGTTTACCACCTTCAAGTCGACCTTGCCGAACCGAGTCCACCTCATACTGTGTGGCTTGTTATGCTACTTCGCGGTAAACTCAAACTTGCGACTCTGGTTTGTCCATTGACCATAAATTCCCACTGCCTGGAAATACAAGTCTGAGCAAGAGTCACCTATGCGCCTAGCGTCGGCCTCCAGGCGTAGTAATGTCTCCTGCGGTCCAGCCCATCGCGGTATTTGCAAAAGAACGTGTACGCCCGTGCGGTAGATGTCAAAATGCTCGCCGTACATGTTGGTGAGGTGGGGGTCTCCCACGCCTGAGACCGATTGCGATGCTGGTGTAACTGTTGCCGGCGAAGGTGCTTGCGACGACGCAGGTGCCGGCGAGGGTTTCAACGAGGTTATCGGCGACGGTGTCGGCGAGGGTGTCAACGAGGTTGTCGGCGACGGTGCCGGCAAGGGTGTCAACGGTGTCGGCGACGGTGTCGGCAAGTTGATCGGCGAGGTTGACTGCGAGGGTGTCGGCGAGGGTGTCGGCGATGGTGTCATCGAGGTAGTCGGTGCCGGTGTCAGCGAGGGTGTCAACGAGGTTGTCGGCGACGGTGCCGGCGAGGGTGTCAACGGTGTCGGCGACGGTGTCGGCAAGTTGATCGGCGAGGTTGACCGCGAGGGTGTCGGCGAGGGTGTCGGCGAGGGTGTCGGCGATGGTGTCATCGAGGTAGTCGGTGCTGGTGTCAGCGAGGGTGTCAACGAGGTTGTCGGCGAGGGTGCCAGCGGGATTGCCTCAGCCACCAAATTGACACTGTGAGGACTCTGAGGAATCTCTGTGACCCAACCAGACCGGCTTGTGGCCGTCAAGAGACTCCATCTTTGTGAAGCGTTCATGGACCCAGCCGATGGGTACGCCTCGTACATTATGGCCACGAGTCCAGAGACGTGTGGACACGCCATGGAAGTACCCGACGACGTGCCCAACGAAGTGTCGCTGAGATGGTACGTCGAGAGGATGCTTGAGCCCGGAGCCCAGACATCGATGCAGCTGCCGTAGTTGCTGAAAGACGATTTGGCGGGCGACGATCCTGCAGGTCCGCCGTAAGATGCCACCGTGATCGCTGACGGGATCCAAGCCGGGTTGTAGTCGCATGCATCCGTATTCTGGTTCCCTGCAGCCACCACCACGGTCACGCCATCTTCCACCAACCTGTCGATAGAGTCCTTCTCCGCCATGCTACTGCCAATACTCACGACACTCATGCTGACCACCGCTGGCCTGGCACCAGACGACAGCACCCACTGCTCGGCCAGAAGGGACCACTTGACGTAACCGAACCCAAGATCATCGATAACCTTCATTGCCCAGAGGGTCGCGCCATCCGCGACGCCATATGTCGAGGCCCCCACCGTGCCTGCGACGTGGGTGCCGTGCCCATGGCGATCTGCAGCGCACGTTGTGCTACTCGGCGCGCAATGTGTGAAACTTCCCGTGGTGGCCACGTCCACTCCAGCGAAGGCCCGGCCGCCGAACGAGGCGTGGGTTGTGCGAATGCCAGTGTCCAGCACGTACACGTTCACCCCCACGCCCCGTCCCCGACTCAAGTCAGCGTTGATGGACTGGATGCCCCATGGGTATGTCCGCCGCTCCAATGGGCTTTCGTCTGCATCGATGAACTCAAGGTTCATGGTCTCAAACACATCCTCTTCGGCAAACTTCACGAGAACGGGGTATCTATCCAGCAGCGCCTTCAGTTCCTCTAGTGTCAAACGCACCACCACAAATGGCAACTCGCCCGAATTTGGGTAGCTCGTCTCACAGATCTCGACCTCCTGGCAAAGAACCTGTGCCTCCTTGTCCGTAGCGTTGCTGACCAGCTCGAGAATCCACAGCCGGTGCGTCTCGACCGCGTGGGGGTAGATAGGCACCGCCGACTGCGTCGGTGCACGCCTCCGCTCCCGCTCCAGCAGCCGCTGCACACCTGTGTCACCGTGCTTCGGGTGGGGGTAGATCGGCACGTCAGCGTGCGTGAAGAATTCCCTGTCCAACCTTAGGAAGGCACCAACTATACACCAACACCGATCCTGGCCAGGATCACCCTGGGCCCAGGATCGGTGTATACGCCCTCCTGCCTGGGGCAGGAAGGCATACTCCAGATTTCGTAATAAAAGGGAGGGGATCTGGACCCTCCAGGACAAGCCATTTCAGACCCCTCCCTAGGAGAACCCTCCAAAACATCGTCCCCAGACCCCCCCGGGCCCTCCAAGATAGCCTGGAAGAGACCCCCCCCCGAAATGAGACCCCCCTCCCTCTATTACGAAATCTGGAGTATACACCGATCCTGGGCCCAGGGTGATCCTGGGCCAGGATCGGTGTTGGTGTATAGTTGGTGCCCTCCGAAACCTCTCTTGGCGGCGCGCACAAGGGGTAGGGGGAGGGGGGAGGGCTTCTTAGAAGGAGGCTGCTTCTTAGAAGGCGGCGGCCCTACATCTACAAAGAAAGCCCGCGCCTTCTAAGAAGCAGGGGTGCTTCTAAGAAGCCTTCCCCCCTCCCCCTACCCCCCTCTGCGCGTGGCCGACAGCCTCCTGGGCCCAGGATCGGTGTATACGCCCTCCTGCCTTGCGCAGGAAGGCATATACACCAATCCTGGGCGCAGGATTGGCCTGGCCAGGATCGGTGGATTGCAAAAAAAACGAAGGATTGCAAAAAACATAAAAAAGAAAAAAAACGAAGGATTACAAAAAAAACCTTCGTTGTTTTGCAATCCTTCGTTTTTTTGCAATCCTTCGTATAGTTGGTGCCCTCCGAAACCTCACCATCGGCGTGGACGAGGTGCCCCTCCGCAGCGGCACGGGCTCCGGGTCGCCCGCCGAGGTCAGCCCGGCCGCAGCGCGGGCCCAGGCCAGGCCGGCGAGCAGCAGAGCACGCGCCATCTGCGAGACGGAGAAGACGGAAATCCACCCCCACCCCCAATCCTAGGGAGCCCACAAAAGGACGTACGCGCCCAACTATGTACATGAACACGTCCCCTCGATTCGCGAGACCGGCCGCGTTATACGAACATTTGTGCAATGCGTGCTCTCGAAAACACCGAAAGATTGCAAAAAAACCAAAGATTGCAAAAAAGATTGCAAAAAAAACCCTTCAAAAAAAACCTTCAAATAAAAACGGGTTGTTTTGCAATCCTTCGACCAAGGGCTTTTTGCAATCCTTCGTTGTTTTGCAATCCTCCAATCCCGACCCCATTTCCGAACCCTCGATCCGGAAGGTCGGGACTGGGGGTGGGGGGTGGGTTTTCGGGGTCCAAGATAAAGATAACCCACCCCCACCCCCAGTCCCGACCCCCCAGATCGCGGGCTCGGGGATGGGCGTCGGGACTGGGGGTGGGGGTGGATTTTCGCCTTCTCAGAAACGGATGAACGAGAAAGCTATGATTCGATTGCACGGACTGTGACGCCGAGCGCTACAAACACTCGAGCCACCCTAAGTACAGCCAGAGTGGCTGAGTCAAGATTGCTTGAGCCAAAATGGCTACGGAAGGAGCAACAAGCGAAGCGAAGCGAAGCAAACGCCAGAGTCGTGCGCGCTCCTCCGGGCCGTGGCCTCGACAAGGAAGATCGGCAAAATATTCAGGCTTGTGAAACGTATGCTGGCTCACAGGATGTCCACCACTCTGTGCAGCAAGCGGCCCGGAGGAGGAGGAGGAGGAGGAGGAGGAGGAGGAGGGGTCGATGCGTCCCTGCACGCGCGCGCGACGGGCACGCCTGGCCCTCAGCCGCCCTCCGCCTTCGTCCAGCAGCCGGCTGCGCACCCTCGGCCGCTGCCGCTGGCGCGCGGCGCGCGGCCGGCGCGCCCGGTGGCTGCCGGCCTGCCGCTGGCGCCGGCGCAGGCGGCGCCCTGTCCCGCGCGGCCCCTCCGTGCTCGTCTCGCCATCGCGCGGACGTCCATTCCCCGGGCACGTTTCGATGTCGTGCGTGCGCGTGTTCGTCACGTGCTCCGCTGTGCCCCTCCGATGGCCCTCGCCGACAAAAGAGGCACACGTCCGAGCGATGCCGAGCTCTTGTCCTTTAGTCGCGAACGACGTCAAACATGGGCCATTCGCAGATCAAGTCGGGCCATGTCTTCTCTGGAGCTATACCGCGCCTGCCGTCGTAAGGGCCTGTCCAGTCAAGGTGCGCCTGAATGTGAAGCTGCCCGTCTGTCTGGCTGGGCCAATTGTCTCTGCGAGCAAGTATGGTCCGTGATATCGCGAATCCCGCTAATGTTTCGATGGTTCCGAGGCCCCTCCAAGGGGGGTCCAAGGCCAAACCGAGGGGGAACGTTAGGGGGAACCAGCTCAGGGGGGAGGGGGGGGGGGCATCGAGCTGTCATCGGCGATACATCGCCGACGACGGATCGGTGATAGGCTCCCGATAGCGAATCCGCACGGTCCTGGACGGGGCGTGCCATCAGACCCCTGCCAGCGGTGATTGGGCGACTGGAGGTCGATGCACACTCCCCTGAGCCTGGCCCCCCCACACGTTGCCCCTGTAAACGGGGGTCCCCTGATCTGGATATCATGGCGGTTTCCTGCGCTACCTTTTGAAGGATGCCTTCGGGCTCCGCCTCTCGCGCACTCCGAGGGCATGCCTCAAGAGCTCCCTGCAGCGAGGCAATGCAGGGCACCGCCAGGAGATCCAGAGGATGCCTCGGCGAGGGCGGGGCGAGGTGAGGGAAGGAGGGGACGGGTGGGAGCGCGGATAGGGGTAGGAGGGAGTAGGAGGGGCGGGAGTGGGAAACGGAAGGGAGAAAGGGAGGGCAGGAGGGGGAAACGAGTGAGAATTCAGATGAGGGCATGAGCATTGCCATTAGAAGTGTTGTTGCGTACAGGCTAGCCTCCGTAATACACGGGGGCTCAAGGCACCATCACCATTGCAAAACCATCGTCGTTCCGACTAAAGAGGGGGGAGAATGGGGGAGAGGACACGGCTTTCCCCCCGCAGCAACAACCACGAGTGTCGGTGCCGTCCCTGTTGGCTCGTGCGCGCGTGGAAGAGGGGGGAGCTGGGGAGGGGACACAGGGGGGGATGGAAGGCGACAGTGGGGAAGGCTGGGGACAGGATGAGGAGGGCGGAGTTCCAGCTTCAGCGACACTCGAGGATGTTCATTGCAGTGCTCAGGGATTGGGCCTCAGGCCAAGACTTTGAATGGGAGGCAATCCCGCTGGCCATGCAGGGGCTCTCGGACCAAATCCTTCCCTGCCAGCTATATCCCTGGCGCCGTGGACGTCGGTCAAGCTGGCAGCTCCTGCCGAGGACGCTCCGCCCGGCTCGATCCCCGAAGCCGATGACTTGCTCCTTTCGACGAGTTGATCCGTTCTCGCCCCTCGGCGGCTCGCTCATCGAAGCAGCTGCCGATCCCCTTTTAGAGGACCCCCCGAACCGCCTAGAAGCCCACGAGCACTTTGGCAGCAGGTGGTTCAGCGAGCTAGTCTTAGGTCGGGCCTGTCCCCCTACCGGGGGATCGTTGGCGGAAAGTTGGAAATATTCACAAAAACACTCTAAACGGGTTCACAAATAATATGAGTGAGATACATATGTTTGAACCGATTCCAATAATAGTAAGTATACTTACTTACATATACATATTGACTAATATTAGTAATAATAAGAAGAATACGAATAATAACAATAATACTCATGAAAATAACAATGACAATAATACTTAAAATGATTTAGCACATATGTTACGCCACCACCGCCACCCCCCACCCACACACACACACACACACACACTCCCCACCCCAGAAAAAACGCCCCCAGACTATTTGTTCGACTATGTTTGAGCATTCCTTCTGTAGAGGGGCAGGCCCGACTGAAAGCCAGCCCTTCTAGCCTCGTCGCTCCTTCGGGGGGAAAGCGCCTCGCCCTCTTCCCCCTGCCCCCCCCGCCCTGCCCGGGGAAGCCCGGGCGGGCCCCGCCCGCGAGGCGTTTTTGTTGGAGCGCCCGGGGACGGCCAGGACGTGGGCCAGCAGGGCCCCCCGCTGGCCCCCGGAGGGCATCCAAGGTCGCACAAGATCGGCCCCGGTTCCTCATGAGAGAAGGATTGCAAAAAAACCCTCACTTGAACGAAGGTTTGCAAAAAAAACCTTCGTTCTTCGTTCTCATGGGTTTTTTTGCAATCCTTGTTTTTGTTTGCAATCCTTCGTTTTTTTTGCAATCCTTCGAGGCCCTAATTCAAGCACAGCCTCGGGGTGTCATGCCTGTACGCACACGCAAATGCAGACAGAGACATGTACGCAAGGGGGGAGGGAGCGAGAGAGAAGGGTAAGTGCTCACGCCTAGACGCACGTGCATATGCATACATATCGGTGTAGAGAGAACATGCACATGCACATTCACATGTGCGATTGTATACATACAGGAAGATAGGCCGTTCAAATATCATACAAATAGGCGTGTACATACGCCTACCAAGACGGCCAAAAATGGCGTCAAGCATGCTTCCATGAGGCGCCAGGACCGTCACGAGACGGCTCCACGTGGCCACGGAGCCTCCCAAAGGATCCCCACCGAGAGGCCACGATCCATCCGTCCAAAACCTATGTAAAACCGACGTGTTGGATGTTAAAACCTTTCTGAATCCAATGGGCTCTTGAAGCCTCAAGGAGAGCCTGAAAAGGGGCCTGCAGAATGAGCCCAAAGCGGCCCCCAAAAGAGCGCCGAAGAGCGCCCCAAAGGTCGCCCCCACGGGGGCCCAAAGAGAGGCGTCTCAGCCCTGCCCGCCCCGGTTCCGCCGCCCAGCTGGTGATGCAGAGGCCGAAGACGGGGAGAGAGAGGAGGAGGAGGAGGAGGAGGAGGAGGAGGAGGAGGAGGAGGAGGACGAGGAGGAAGAGAAGGAGGAGGAGGCAGAGCGAAGAAGAAGAAGGAGGGGAGTGAGGAGGAGGGGGGTGGGAGAGAGTGGAGGATGGTGATCGAGGATAGAGGTGCGAGGATCGAAGGTCGAGGTTTTTAGGGTGTTTGGGCTCGAGGCCCCTGCAGGCCTCCGGTTGACGACTGGGGACCTCGAGGAGGCCTCCAGGGACCTCCAGCGGAAGACCTACTTTTGTATTGCGGAGGTGTTCGTGGGCCTCTGGAGCCTCCTGGGGGCCTCCAGCGACCTTCGGGCTCTTCGGGAGACCTGAGGAAGGGGGCGGTAGGACAGGACAGGAGGATACGGACACGCAGTCAGCAAATAAGCACTGCGGGAATCTCGCATGACCCTAGGCGGAGAGCCACACTCAAAGATCCCCAGACACCAGGGACGCCCGAGTGGACGAGGGCAAACAATGCGAAATCTGCACACCACTGGCAACAATCATTTTCTACATCCTGTGCCTCAACGACTGAGGCCCTCGGGACCTCGAGGAGACCTCCTGGGACCTCCGGAGGAAGTTCGATGTTCTGGTGGAGGGCCTCTGGATCCCATCTGGGAGCCTCCGGGGGCCGTCGGGTACCTGTCGAGACCCGGGGGGGGAGGCACAAGGCCAGGATGGGATGATGGGGGCACGTGGCCAGCGAGTGCATTCTGGTTGGCACAGATGCCGATCTACGAACGCCGCGGGAGACTCAAGACTCTGGAGAGAGAGTCACACTCAAATCTCCCCATGTTCCAGGAACGCCCCAGTGGACGGGGGCAACAACTTGCAAGCATTGCACATCACGGGCAACAATCATCGTCTGTATCCTGTCTATACGGCCGAGGCGTGTAGTATCATACAAATAGGCACGCTGTGGAAATAAGTGTGCATGGGTATGGACATGCCCGCCCGCCCGCCCGAAAGTGCAGAGGCTTCTGTCACAATACATGTGAATGGGCATCATAGGCATGCCCACCCAAAAATGCGACTGCACATGACCTCATACTGCGTCCAGGCAGACCCTCCAGCATCTTGGTCCTCCCCCTCCTCCTCCGAGTGCTTCGACCGCTCATTCATTTTTTTGACATCCACGGCCAAAGACCCACGAGCATGGCCGAAGAGTTGGGCGCCCATCGTCGAGAGCATCACAGCCGCCGTCACTTCGGACGATGGTCCCGAGGGAAGCGGGCCCTGGAAACTCCGCAGCTTTGCTCCTGCCGCTCACTGTGCCCATCGCCACGAGCATCGAAGCCAGCTCCGACTCCGAGGACCAGGAGCCCCCAGGGAGACGAGTCCTGGATACCCGGAGCTTTGCCTGGGGCCCGCGCTTCGCCTCAAGCCCTGTTTCGAAAGTCTTCTGACCCGGGTCCATCCAGACCCGGGTCAGTCAGGCCTTGCAAAATCCTGCAAGATCCTGCAAGATCCTGCACCCAAATCCGGGTCAACGCGAAGGACCCTGCAAGATCCTGCAAGATCCTGCACCCAAGCCAGGGTCAATGCGACCCTGGCCCTGCAGGATCCTGCAAGATCGGGCGCTCTGGCTGACCCCCGTTTGCATTGACCCCCGTCTCGAGGCTCCCGACTTTTGTCCACAGCTTTGGGCCCGGGAGTGGCCCCGGGAGAGGCCCCGGGAGAGACCGACGATGGCGCGGGGCCGCGGGACCACTCCTCTGCACGGCAGCGAAGAGGGCGGACGGCCTCGG